ACATTGAACATCAGAATGTGTTTGTGACTTGTACAGCTGTGTGTTGTCTGTTGTAATATGACTGTAATAACGTTAAATGTGTATCAAACATCTATGAAGACATTGAACATCAGAATGTGTTTGTGACTTGTACAGCTGTGTGTTGTCTGTTGTAATATGACTGTAATAACGTTAAATGTGTATCAAACATCTATGAAGACATTGAACATCAGAATGTGTTTGTGACTTGTACAGCTGTGTGTTGTCTGTTGTAATATGACTGTAATAACGTTAAATGTGTATCAAACATCTATGAAGACATTGAACATCAGAATGTGTTTGTGACTTGTACAGCTGTGTGTTGTCTGTTGTAATATGACTGTAATAACGTTAAATGTGTATCAAACCTGTATGAAGACATTGAACATCAGAATGTGTTTGTGACTTGTACAGCTGTGTGTTGTCTGTTGTAATATGACTGTAATAACGTTAAATGTGTATCAAAAGTGTATGAAGACATTGAACATCAGAATGTGTTTGTGACTTGTACAGCTGTGTGTTGTCTGTTGTAATATGACTGTAATAACGTTAAATGTGTATCAAAAGTGTATGAAGACATTGAACATCAGAATGTGTTTGTGACTTGTACAGCTGTGTGTTGTCTGTTGTAATATGACTGCAATAACCTTAAATGTGTATCAAACATCTATGAAGACATTGAACATCAGAATGTGTTTGTGACTTGTACAGCTGTGTGTTGTCTGTTGTAATATGACTGCAATAACCTTAAATGTGTATCAAACATCTATGAAGACATTGAACATCAGAATGTGTTTGTGACTTGTACAGCTGTGTGTTGTCTGTTGTAATATGACTGTAATAACGTTAAATGTGTATCAAACATCTATGAAGACATTGAACATCAGAATGTGTTTGTGACTTGTACAGCTGTGTGTTGTCTGTTGTAATATGACTGTAATAACGTTAAATGTGTATCAAACATCTATGAAGACATTGAACATCAGAATGTGTTTGTGACTTGTACAGCTGTGTGTTGTCTGTTGTAATATGACTGTAATAACGTTAAATGTGTATCAAACCTGTATGAAGACATTGAACATCAGAATGTGTTTGTGACTTGTACAGCTGTGTGTTGTCTGTTGTAATATGACTGTAATAACGTTAAATGAGTATCCAACATCTATGAAGACATTGAACATCAGAATGTGTTTGTGACTTGTATAGTTTTGTGTTGTCTGTTGTAATATGACTGTAATAACGCTAAATGTGTATCAAACATCTATGAAGACATTGAACATCAGAATGTGTTTGTGACTTGTACAGCTGTGTGTTGTCTGTTGTAATATGACTGTAATAACGTTAAATGTGTATCAAACATCTATGAAGACATTGAACATCAGAATGTGTTTGTGACTTGTACAGCTGTGTGTTGTCTGTTGTAATATGACTGAAATAACGTTAAATGTGTATCAAACATCTATGAAGACATTGAACATCAGAATGTGTTTGTGACTTGTACAGCTGTGTGTTGTCTGTTGTAATATGACTGTAATAACGTTAAATGTGTATCAAACATCTATGAAGACATTGAACATCAGAATGTGTTTGTGACTTGTACAGCTGTGTGTTGTCTGTTGTAATATGACTGTAATAACGTTAAATGTGTATCAAACATCTATGAAGACATTGAACATCAGAATGTGTTTGTGACTTGTACAGCTGTGTGTTGTCTGTTGTAATATGACTGTAATAACGTTAAATGTGTATCAAACATCTATGAAGACATTGAACATCAGAATGTGTTTGTGACTTGTACAGCTGTGTGTTGTCTATTGTAATATGACTGCAATAACCTTAAATGTGTATCAAACATCTATGAAGACATTGAACATCAGAATGTGTTTGTGACTTGTACAGCTGTGTGTTGTCTGTTGTAATATGACTGTAATAACGTTAAATGTGTATCAAACATCTATGAAGACATTGAACATCAGAATGTGTTTGTGACTTGTACAGCTGTGTGTTGTCTGTTGTAATATGACTGTAATAACGTTAAATGTGTATCAAACATCTATGAAGACATTGAACATCAGAATGTGTTTGTGACTTGTACAGCTGTGTGTTGTCTGTTGTAATATGACTGTAATAACGTTAAATGTGTATCAAACATCTATGAAGACATTGAACATCAGAATGTGTTTGTGACTTGTACAGCTGTGTGTTGTCTGTTGTAATATGACTGTAATAACGTTAAATGTGTATCAAACATCTATGAAGACATTGAACATCAGAATGTGTTTGTGACTTGTACAGCTGTGTGTTGTCTGTTGTAATATGACTGTAATAACGTTAAATGTGTATCAAACATCTATGAAGACATTGAACATCAGAATGTGTTTGTGACTTGTACAGCTGTGTGTTGTCTGTTGTAATATGACTGTAATAACGTTAAATGTGTATCAAACATCTATGAAGACATTGAACATCAGAATGTGTTTGTGACTTGTACAGCTGTGTGTTGTCTGTTGTAATATGACTGTAATAACGTTAAATGTGTATCAAACCTGTATGAAGACATTGAACATCAGAATGTGTTTGTGACTTGTACAGCTGTGTGTTGTCTGTTGTAATATGACTGTAATAACGTTAAATGAGTATCCAACATCTATGAAGACATTGAACATCAGAATGTGTTTGTGACTTGTATAGTTTTGTGTTGTCTGTTGTAATATGACTGTAATAACGCTAAATGTGTATCAAACATCTATGAAGACATTGAACATCAGAATGTGTTTGTGACTTGTACAGCTGTGTGTTGTCTGTTGTAATATGACTGTAATAACGTTAAATGTGTATCAAACATCTATGAAGACATTGAACATCAGAATGTGTTTGTGACTTGTACAGCTGTGTGTTGTCTGTTGTAATATGACTGAAATAACGTTAAATGTGTATCAAACATCTATGAAGACATTGAACATCAGAATGTGTTTGTGACTTGTACAGCTGTGTGTTGTCTGTTGTAATATGACTGTAATAACGTTAAATGTGTATCAAACATCTATGAAGACATTGAACATCAGAATGTGTTTGTGACTTGTACAGCTGTGTGTTGTCTGTCGTAATATGACTGTAATAACGTTAAATGTGTATCAAACATCTATGAAGACATTGAACATCAGAATGTGTTTGTGACTTGTACAGCTGTGTGTTGTCTGTTGTAATATGACTGTAATAACGTTAAATGTGTATCAAACATCTATGAAGACATTGAACATCAGAATGTGTTTGTGACTTGTACAGCTGTGTGTTGTCTATTGTAATATGACTGCAATAACCTTAAATGTGTATCAAACATCTATGAAGACATTGAACATCAGAATGTGTTTGTGACTTGTACAGCTGTGTGTTGTCTGTTGTAATATGACTGTAATAACGTTAAATGTGTATCAAACATCTATGAAGACATTGAACATCAGAATGTGTTTGTGACTTGTACAGCTGTGTGTTGTCTGTTGTAATATGACTGTAATAACGTTAAATGTGTATCAAACATCTATGAAGACATTGAACATCAGAATGTGTTTGTGACTTGTACAGCTGTGTGTTGTCTGTTGTAATATGACTGTAATAACGTTAAATGTGTATCAAACATCTATGAAGACATTGAACATCAGAATGTGTTTGTGACTTGTACAGCTGTGTGTTGTCTGTTGTAATATGACTGTAATAACGTTAAATGTGTATCAAACATCTATGAAGACATTGAACATCAGAATGTGTTTGTGACTTGTACAGCTGTGTGCTGTCTGTTGTAATATGACTGTAATAACGTTAAATGTGTATCATACCTGTATGAAGACATTGAACATCAGAATGTGTTTGTGACTTGTACAGCTGTGTGTTGTCTGTTGTAATATGACTGTAATAACGTTAAATGTGTATCAAACATCTATGAAGACATTGAACATCAGAATGTGTTTGTGACTTGTACAGCTGTGTGTTGTCTGTTGTAATATGACTGTAATAACGTTAAATGTGTATCAAACATCTATGAAGACATTGAACATCAGAATGTGTTTGTGACTTGTACAGCTGTGTGTTGTCTGTTGTAATATGACTGTAATAACGTTAAATGTGTATCAAACATCTATGAAGACATTGAACATCAAAATGTGTTTGTGACTTGTACAGCTGTGTGTTGTCTGTTGTAATATGACTGTAATAACGTTAAATGTGTATCATACCTGTATGAAGACATTGAACATCAGAATGTGTTTGTGACTTGTACAGCTGTGTGTTGTCTGTTGTAATATGACTGTAATAACGTTAAATGTGTATCAAACATCTATGAAGACATTGAACATCAGAATGTGTTTGTGACTTGTACAGCTGTGTGTTGTCTGTTGTAATATGACTGTAATAACGTTAAATGTGTATCAAACATCTATGAAGACATTGAACATCAGAATCTGTTTGTGACTTGTACAGCTGTGTGCTGTCTGTTGTAATATGACTGTAATAACGTTAAATGTGTATCAAACATCTATGAAGACATTGAACATCAGAATGTGTTTGTGACTTGTATAGTTGTGTGTTGTCTATCGTAATATGACTGTAATGATGCTTAATATGTATCATACCTGTATGAAGACATTGAACATCAGAATGTGTTTGTGACTTGTACAGCTGTGTGTTGTCTGTTGTAATATGACTGTAATAACGTTAAATGTGTATCAAACATCTATGAAGACATTGAACATCAGAATGTGTTTGTGACTTGTACAGCTGTGTGTTGTCTGTTGTAGTATGACTGTAATAACGTTAAATGTGTATCAAACATCTATGAAAACATTGAACATCAGAATGTGTTTGTGACTTGTATAGTTGTGTGTTGTCTATCGTAATATGACTGTAATGATGCTTAATATGTATCATACCTGTATGAAGACATTGAACAGCAGAATGTGTTTGTGACTTGTATAGTTGTGTGTTGTCAGGTCCCCCAGTTTATCCTGGACAACTACATCAAAAATGGGATCGGGTCTCAGTGCCGAGTCATCTGTACACAACCCAGGAGGATCAGTGCAATATCCGTGAGTCACATGTTGACATAGTCGCGCGTTAACATAGTCACACATTAACATAGTCACACGTTAACATAGTCACACGTAAACATGGTCACATGTTAACATGGTCACATGTTAACATAGTCAAACGTTAACAGTCACACGTTAACATAGTCGCACGTTAACATAGTCACACGTTAACATAGTCGCGCGTTAACATAGTCACACATTAACATAGTCACACGTTAACATAGTCACACGTTAACATGGTCACATGTTAACATAGTCAAACGTTAACAGTCACACGTTAACATAGTCGCACGTTAACATAGTCACACGTTAACATAGTCACACATTAACATAGTCACATGTTAACATAGTCAAACGTTAACAGTCACATGTTAACAGTCAAATGTTAACATAGTCACGTTATAATGGTGACACGTTAACATTGTCACACATTAACATAGTCACACGTTAACATGGTGACACATTAACATAGTCACATGTTAACATAGTCAAACATTAACATAGTCACACATTAACATGGTCACAAATTAACATAGTCACATATGATCGTAGTCTCAAATCACTTTGACATAGTCACATGTCATGTTAGTCACCCGATCACTGTCATACACCACATTTCAACAACATGTCTCACGTTAACATAGTCACAAGTTAACGTAGTCACACATAAACATAGTCACACGTTAACATGGTGACACATTAACATAGTCACATGTGATTGTAGTCACATGTTATGTCCTTACAAACTAACTTGTCACATATCATTAACATTGTCTCATATGAAGATAAGTATATAATGTGAAGTTTTCTGCCATATTCATTGGCCAGGAAGTGTACACCCTATGGTTATGACTTGAGTTTCTGAAAACAAAATGGGAAATACCTGGAATTGTAAATACCAAAGCCAATCAAATGTCTCCGTTTGTTGGAACCTCCTAATGTTATTGTAGCTGATATGTTGAATCTGCTTGATCTCTTTATTATTTAATATAAGAATGTTGTGTTGTTTATTTCACGATAAAACATTTTTCTATCACAACGTCATTTCTGGAGATTTGAACATGCACTTGCAACTTGATGACGTCATATATTGGAAGACGTTATGTCGGAGAGGGAGATGTCTAGTGAGTTATTCCCCATAGATGTAGCTGTGCAACGCAGATAAACGCTCTGCCCCTCGTGGTTTATTCTCCCTGCAGTGTTTTATTGTATGATAAACAACTCCCACTTGTCGTTTATTTCTTAAATAAAACGGCGGTCGGGTAGCCTAGTGGTTAAAGCGTTCGCTCGTCACGCCCAAGACCCGGGTTCGATTCCCGACATGGGTACAATGTGTCAAGCCCATTTCTGGTGTCCCCCGCCGTGATATTGCTGGAATATTGCTCACATAAACAAAGTCATATGTGATAATACAGTGCACAATACCAGTCACGTGATAATACAGTGCACAATAACAGTCACGTGATAATACCGTGCTCAATAACAGTCAAATGATAATACAGTGCACAATAACAGTCACGTGATAATGCAGTGCACAATAACAGTCACGTGATAATACAGTGCTCAATAACAGTCACATGATAATACAGTGCACAATAACAGTCACTTGATAATACAGTACACAACAACAGTCACATGATAATACAGTGCACAATAACAGTCACGTGATAATACAGTACACAATAACAGTCACGTGATACTACAGTACACAATAACAGTCACGTCATAATACAGTGCACAATAACAGTCACTTGATAATACAGTACACAACAACAGTCACATGATAATACAGTGCACAATAACAGTCACGTGATAATACAGTACACAATAAACAGTCACGTGATAATACAGTACACAATAACAGTCACGTGATAATACAGTGCTCAATAACAGTCACATGATAATACAGTGCTCAATAACAGTCACGTGATACTACAGTACACAATAACAGTCACGTCATAATACAGTGCACAATAACAGTCACTTGATAATACAGTACACAATAACAGTCACGTGATAATACAGTAAACAATAACAGTCACGTCATAATACAGTGCTCAATAACATTCACTTGATAATACAGTTCACAATAACAGTCACGTGATAATACAGTGCTCAATAACAGTCACATGATAATACAGTGCACAATAACAGTCACGTGATAATGCAGTGCACAATAACAGTCACTTGATAATACAGTGCACAATAACAGTCACGTGATAATACAGTGCACAATAACAGTCACGTGATAATACAGTGCACAATACCAGTCACTTGATAATACAGTACACAATAACAGTTACTTGATGATACACAGCTCAATAACAGTCACGTGATAATACAGTGCTCAATAACATTCACTTGATAATACAGTACACAATAACAGTCACGTGATAATACAGTACACAATAACAGTCACGTGATAATTCAGTGCACAATAACAGTCACGTGATAATACAGTGCTCAATAACATTCACTTGATAATACAGTTCACAATAACAGTCACGTGATAATACAGTACACAATAACAGTCACATGATAATACAGTGCACAATAACAGTCATGTGATAATGCAGTGCACAATAACAGTCACTTGATAATACAGTACACAATAACAGTCAAGTGATAATACAGTGCACAATAACAGTCACGTGATAATACAGTGCACAATACCAGTCACTTGATAATACAGTACACAATAACAGTCACGTGATAATACAGTACACAATAACAGTCACGTGATAATACAGTACACAATAACAGTCACGTCATAATACAGTACACAATAACAGTCACGTGATAATACAGTGGACAATAACAGTCACGTGATAATACAGTACACAATAACAGTCACGTGATAATTCAGTTCACAATAACAGTCACGTGATAATACAGTGCACAATAACAGTCACGTGATAATACAGTGCACAATAACAGTCACATGATAATACAGTACACAATAACAGTCACGTGATAATACAGTACACAATAACAGTCACGTGATAATACAGTGCTCAATAACAGTCACATGATAATACAGTGCACAATAACAGTCACGTGATAATACAGTGCACAATACCAGTCACTTGATAATACAGTACACAATAACAGTCACGTGATAATACAGTACACAATAACAGTCACGTGATAATTCAGTTCACAATAACAGTTAAATGATAATACAGTGCACAATACCAGTCACGTGATAATACAGTACACAATAACAGTCACGTGATAATACAGTGCTCAATAACAGTCACATGATAATACAGTGCACAATAACAGTCACGTGATAATACAGTGCACAATACCAGTCACTTGATAATACAGTACACAATAACAGTCATGTGATAATACAGTACACAATAACAGTCACGTGATAATACAGTATACAATAACAGTCACGTGATAATACAGTGCACAATAACAGTCACGTGATTATAGCCACAATAAAAAAGTTGCGTGATAACAAAGTCATACAATAACACATTTGCACAATAACACTGACACATAATAATAATATTGTCAATCCAGAGCTCTAGATAAGCTTTTCATTATTTGGGTATTTTACCCATGGGTTTGATTTTTATTGGGTATTCAAATTTTTTACCCACATGTTTCTTTACATTTGGGTATTTTAACTTGAAAACCTGTTTCATAACAATCCCTGTAAGTCATGATCATTTAACCAAATAAATAGTAGTTTACACGAATGTTATTGTCTGTAAATGAATTTCGCGATCGGCTGACAGTTGTTCTAGGTAGAGGTATGCATGTGGTCAGCTTGAGCTGGCTTGCCGTGCACGGGAGCACTTAATTGACCGAGCTGCTAAACGTAACCATGGAGATGCTGGGGGTGTTTGGGTGAATGTTTTTATTTTAGAAGTTGGGAACATGGTTTAACCCTTTCGCCCCGACTGCCCGATTTATCGGGCAGGATAAACCGTGTCCCAGGACCCGGCTGCCCGAAATATCGGGCAGCGTAAGCCGAGGCCCAGAACCCGGCTGCCCGATAAATCGGGCGGCGCGAGCGTGTTTACAAAATCGCTCTTTCTACTTCCTTTCTCGTGTGTAATCTCGTTCTAAATATGGAAACGAGATCTACACGTATTGACACGTCATTCGATGGAATTTCCCCGTCTTTTTGGCGCGAAAATCGCGGGTATGTCACCTGTTTTCGCGACAGGTATTTTTCTCGCTTGAATCGTAAATCAAGCGTAATGGCGGCCAACTACGATTCGGATAGCGATCAGATGATTAACAACGACTATATCGGGAATAATAATGTGTTTGAATTGAATAATTTACGCGAAGGGGAGAGGGAATTTCGCGAATATTTTCGTGAAGATTTTGACGGTTTCGACGAGGTGTCCCCCCCCCGCCAACTTTCGAGAATGGGAGTGGCAGAGGGACACACGACAGTGGAGACATGAGGGATTTTGAAGAGGCGACCGGATTCAAGAATATATATTGACACGGTGAGTGAAGAGTCGTGCTATTGATTTTTTCCAACTGTTTTACAATGATTCTGTGTTTGAACAGATTATCAGTGCGACGAATGAGAATGCAGCCTACACGTGAACGAGCGATCACAACAACAACAAAGGTGAGTGGCATGACGTATCTGTTTCTTTTTTTAAAAATTTATTTTTCTGATCGCAATCCGAATTGTAGTTTGCCGGTTTGTCGTATGTCCTTATATTTCGCTCAATTTGAATAAAATTTATTTCCATATTCATGTTTGTTTTCTTGTTTTTTACATCTTAATTTAAATTTTAGTAACTGTAATGATTATTTATTTATTAATTGATTTAATAAAGTACTGATTTAATTTATTATGCAATTGTAAATAGCAGTGTATTGTAAGTATGTTATCACAACTTGTATATTTGCAGAACTTGAATTTACGATCTTTCCGTCCTTTTACAATGTTTCCCTCTTCAGATCAATCTGTGTTATCTTCCCTGTGATGTCATTCTTATAGTAGCTGTGGTTCAATGTTCAGATAATGTGATAAATAACTTTTTAAAAACTTAAATACTTAATTTTTGTTTCAAATCCTGAAAAAGAACAAAATAAATCAAATATTTGTGTTTTTACCTGTGTTAACGAGTTTACCTGCGTTAACAAGTTTACCTGTGTTAACGAGTTTACCTAAGAGGCTGTAAGTGTATCATAAGTAATATGTGACATCAGTATAGAAAACAAAGTCAGTACCAAGAGTTGTAAACTTGTTTATTTGTTTACAGATGTGCATGAAGAGAATTTACCTGTAACACCTGGGATTACCTGTGCCGTCCAAGATGACAAGACCACTGTGTTATGTTTACCTTGTATCTGTGATTTATTTTTGTGATTTGTAATACAATTTGAGCCAAAATTCATTGTCTGTTTTCATTTTTTCAGTGTTTTCAAGTTTTATTTCACTTGTAAACACCTGTAATTAGAAAATAACAAAGGTTAGAGACAATAACAACAAAGAATATTAAAGTATACTTAATCCTCTTTACAATGGTATATGATAAATGTATATTAAAAGCAAGTTTCTGGTAGAAAAAGTGCATCAAAAATGATAGTGTGATTTTCCAATAATACTGCCAGGGAGGCCAGTGTACAGGCCTTGTCAGTGTCAGGGACTGCAGGGTCTCAAGGGACATAACTCTGGGGCAGCCAGTGATGAAAGAGTTAAGCACGTTTCCACATAGGATCGAAGAAGAAGGAAAAATGCAAAGTGTGAGATAGGATAAGGATATGAATATACAATTTTTACTAAAATTTCCAATAACATAGTTTGACAACAGTCACAATATCACCATGATACTGGCAATTTCTGAAGACTTAGGGGTCAGATATTGGCTGATGAGCAGGTCGGATATTGGCTGATGGGGTCCAGATAATTCCCTGAAGTGGTAAATAAGTTCTTTAACATAAATAATTTGTTTACTCTCTGTGTCCTGAACTTAAGTATTTCCATTATTTCGATGTAACCCTGGCAACCATTATTATCTTTTCCAGGTGGCAGAGAGAGTGGCGGCGGAGCGGTGTGAGAGGTGTGGGGGGACAGACAGCAGTGTGGGGTACCAGATACGTCTCGAATAGTGAGTTACACTCAACAATTACTTCCTAAACACTATACATGAGATCTGCTCTTTGAAGTTTATATTCATGCTTGACGAGTTGGTGACATGCACATATATAAATAGAAAGTTGCGGTACATTGGAATCTGTCGAATCCGGACTACATTGGAGCCACACATGTATTCCACTTTAGGCAGAAGTCCAGATTAGTGAGGTTAAGGCAGGAGATGAGAAACGGTTGCCAAAAGTATTTATTTTTGTAGTTAATTCAGATGGTAAGTGTAGTTTAGTTTTATTGGATTCTGGTGTATGGTGATGACGAACTCAAAGGAACCACTAATTTTAGTTCGTTATAACCATAGTACGTTATTGGCACATATACAGCATATGGCCGGGACCAAAATCACAATTTTTTACTTATCCTGCATTACTCCTAAATGCAAACACTGCTTACCTTATGACAACAAGAAGTCAGCACAAGGGTGATGGTCTTGGGTGAAGAAATACAGATGTTGTTGATTCCAAGTCCCATTTTTTATACGGACCAATTACCACCACAGAGTGTTTGAAATCAACACCCGAACAAAATGCCTCTCCTGAATGTGACTTCGACATAGACCATACAAAGTTTTAGTTTAAAAAACTGTTTCCCAAAGTAGTAAGAGGAGGGAAGTCCTTATTCAAAAAGACGTCCTGGTTGTGTTGAGTACTGGTGCTATTGCCCTTTGCTTCAGTCATGAAAGAAGACTGATTGGACACCTATTTTTAGGATTGTGTCATTCCAACAGGAATCCAAACTATGGTGTTATTGTGATCGGGGTTCAGGGTATTTATGATAATAGGATGGATATACAGTGCCCTGGATGATCAAGGATCGGAATGGTGATGATGATGATGATAAATCTAGTGTGTGAGTGAGTATGGTTTTACGCGGCTTTTAGCAATATTTCAGCAAAATCCCGTCAGGGGGACACCGGAAAATGGGCTTCACACATTGTACCCATGTGGTAAATTGAACCAAATCGCCCGATAAATATGATGATGATGATGATGATGATGATGATGATGATGGTGGTAATTACGATAATGACGATGGAAGTCATGATTGATGGTGATGATTATGAAGATGATGTCCTATTTTACAGCAAGTTACCGCGATTGAATGGCTCCATTCTGTACTGCACGACTGGGATTGTCCTCAAGTTTCTTGAATCTGATCCGTGAGTATATAGTGATTTGACACAATATTTTCTGATTCATCTAACATTTTGCTTAACATGTTTAATTCAGTTTGGAATTGCACTGGTCTATAGCAAGCATGTTTGTCAATGTACATTATGGGGATCTTTAAGATAGCTACGCGATAAATCGCAAAGAACAATGAAGAATGAAACATGGTTTATTTCATGATAAAACATTTTTCTATCATGACGTCATTTCACCCACCTTTGCATAAAATAGATTTTTCCAACATTTCCGAGGTAGGATTCTATTGAGGGAGTCATCATTTTTTAATATGGGTAAATATTTTTAAAGCTTTTACATTTTATTGTCATCCTAAAAGAGGTTGTCCATAAGGCTAAAAAAATGTTTTGGTTCTCAGGCACCACCCGCATCATCTTAAAGCCTGCAGCACATTTTGTTTTTATTTCCATTTTTAAAAAAAATAAAAAAATCCTAATACTTACCGTAAAACTTACAAAAACAAAACGTGCAATGAACTTTATGATGATGTGGGCAGTGCCTGAGAACCAATACTATTATTTTCTTTAGCCGTATGTTGATCCCTCATGGTTTATTCTCCCTGCAGTGTTTTATTGCATAAATAAACAACTCCCACTCGTCGTTTATTTCTTAAACAATTGCACTGCACATGATGCACATGATGAACACCCATTAAAATACAGCCTTCAGAAGTACACATATATCTGTTTAATACCGGCCCAGGGACAGTATTCTGACCTTGGATCTCCAACTGGTTATCCCACCATGTGTAAGACCATGTTTCAGGTCTACAGTAAACATAAAAGTGTATGTTTGATAAAGCGTGTTCCTTCTCTTGTCTCCAGGCTGCTGCAGAGAGCGACCCACATTGTCCTAGATGAGATCCATGAGCGTGACCTTCAGTCTGACTTCCTCATGATCATTCTCAAGGACATTCTACCTCGCCGACCTTCACTCAAGGTCATACTGATGAGTGCCACACTAAATGCAGCAATGTTCTCCAAATACTTCAGTGAGTATTACTTGATATAACAATAATATCCTTCACAGTGTTGTTGCCGATAATTAACTCCTTCAAAAATGAACTCACTGTCCAAATACTCTTCTGTTGCCAGGCAAAACATTGATGACAGTTTAATTGTGAATTATAATCGTGATAACTTTCATTCACAACTATCAATACACATAATATTTGTCATATTTTGACCAAGAAATGCAAACATTGCTGAAGGAGTTAAAATCAGCAGCACCAATAAATAAAGGTTCATGACAGAATGAACCTCCATCATCAGTAACAGAGGTTGACAAGTTGTCCGCAGGTAGGAATTTTCATGTAATTGTTGGATGCCCATATCTTTACTGGGAGCTGATCTGCTTTGTCTACAGATGACTGCCCTCAGCTGAACATCCCCGGCTACACATTCCCTGTGGAGGAGTTCCTGTTGGAGGACGTCATCGAAATGCTGAAGTAGGAACCTTACTCTTGCTATAGGGAGCCTGTCTTTCCTCTGCACTCACCATAGGGAGCCTGTCTTTTCTCTGCACTCACCATAGGGAGCCTGGCTTTTCTCTGCACTCACCATAGGGAGCCTGGCTTTACTCCACGCTCACCATAGGGAGCCTCGCTTTACACCAGATTCACTGTAGGGAGCCTCACTTTACTCCACACTCACTATAGGGAGCCTCACTTTACTCCACACTCACTATAGGGAGTCTCACTTTACTCCACACTCACCATAGGGAGCCTCACTTTACTCTACACTCACCATAGGGAGCCTCACTTTACTCCACACTCACCATAGGGAGCCTCACTTTACTCTCCATTCACTATAGGGAGCCTCATTTTACTCCACACTCACCATAGGGAGCCTCACTTTACTCTACACTCACCATAGGGAGCCTCACTTGACTCCACACTCACCATAGGGAGCCTCACTTTACTCTACACTCACCATAAGGAAGCCTCACTTTACTCCACACTCACCATAGGGAGCCTCACTTTACTCTACACTTACCATAGGGAGCCTCATTTTACTCCACACTCACCATAGGGAGCCTCACTTTACTCCACTCCACCATAGGGAGTGAGTGAGTGAGTGAGTTGGGTTTTACGCCGCTTTTAACAGTATTCCAGTTATATCACGGCGTGTCAGCTTAATGTGGAAGGAAAGCCCGAAGTGATGCAGGTCTCAGACGTTTACCACTTCGGAGAAACCCACGAGCATGGGTATGGTGATGACAAACCTAGAAACATAATCGGGGCGAACCGGGATTCGAACCCACAATCATAGGTTTCTGGCGTGCCAAAGGGCCTCAACTCTGCACAGCGAATCGCGGCACCTTAGACGACTGGGCCACCCGTGCCCCCCTTACCATAGGGAGCCTCACTTTACTCCACACTCACCATAGGGAGCCTCGCTTTACACCATACTCACCAAAGGGAGCCTCGTTTTACACCATACTCACCAAAGGGAGCCTCGCTTTACTCCACACTCACTATAGGGAGCCTCGCTTTACTCCACACTCACCATAGGGAACCTCACTTTACTCCACACTCACCATAGGGAACCTCACTTTACACCACACTCACCATAGGGAACCTCACTTTACACCACACTCACCATGGGGAACCTCACTTTACTCCACACTCACCATAGGGAACCTCACTTTACAATCAACCATGGCATTGTTAGATTTAACCATCCTAAATTTCATTTTGAACCAAACACAAAGGTGTTTCAAGGTAGTTGGACCCATCAGAATTGAGTATGTTTGAATTCATGGTAGACTCTGGTTTAATGAGTGTAATGTATAATATCAGAGGTTGATGCAGACCAGATTCCACAGTTAACGCTTGGTCCTACATCCTGTCAGGTATCAGCCGGACTCAAGTCAGCCACAGCGTCGGCGACCTCGGGGGAAGCGTAGCCGTGAGGCGGATGAAGAGCGGTGGAACTTTGAGGCCTGGTGCAGAAACCTGGAGGGGAGGTAACTCTACCTTTGCATGTCATCTCCAAGTATTGCTATGCAAGTCACGCCAATGTTAAGAAAGCGTCACCTCGCCAACTTAAATTTGCAAACAGAGGTTGTTAAACCCACAATAAGTTTGCCAACTTGTGTTTTCACATGACAGATATGTGTTGTTAGTTAGTTTTGCTTCAATTCTCTCGAGACCGCCTCTGCGGTCTAGTGGATAGAGCGTCTGACTGGAGAGCGGAGGGTCAGGGCGTTTGTTAAACCCCATTTGACTTCAGCTCACCTCATTTCTCACAAACTATGACGCCACTTTGCAGCGGGCATAAGTAAAAATCATGTGATATGTTTGTGGTATTTGACTGGTTGTAAGTACAAACCTATGTTAGAAAACCATTCTCACATCAAAATCAAGTTTGAAAACTGTGACTAGAGCGGAAGGTTCGGGGTTCGATCCCCAGCTGCATCATAACAAAAAACGTTAAAAGATGGTACTTGTTGTTACCCTGTCTGGTGCTCGACATTAAGGGGCTAAAACAAGGACTGGTCGGCTCGGTGTCAGTATACTGTGTCTGAGTGGGGTATTCATGTTAAACTGTGGCATGGTATCTCAGTTGGCTAGCACTATAAAATCGGCAAAAGTCCTGACTCGTGGAAGACACACGCAGACACACACATGCATGCACATCGCTATATAAGTGCAATAATCTTGAAGGCGACGTTTAACCCAATTTCACCTTACCCCACCACCCCAGACCCGTGATTGTCTGGTCCAGACTCGATTATTTTACAGACCGCCGTCACATAGCTGGAATATTGCTGAGTGCGGCGTTAAACAACAAACAAACAAAACCTCACCACCTCAAAATGTATATGTGTGTGTATTAGACAACAACAACTTTCTTTACGCATCCTCATACAGAAGGAGACCACTTTCTGACATGGAGTCATGGATTAAGAGAGTGTGTAGACGATATGTTGCTTGACCCATGTGGATGAGGGAGGGTGAGACCAGAAATGGTCTTCACACATTTTTAGCTGTGTGAGAAATCACTTGGGCATTGACGGTTTAACAATTAGGGTACCCTGCCACACCCATTCACACATTTTAGCCATGAGGGGAATCTCTGTGACAAGTTAACAGTTTAACCAGTAGGGTAAACTGCCACACCCAGCATCTTGGAGTCTCCCATTTGAGAAAGCTGATTGTGGGATGAGGTCAAAAATAGATTTTTGTTGTTGAAAATAACAACTGCTTTCTGACAATGTGAAGCCCGTGAAGATCCAGGTTAGAACTGGTCTTCAGCAGCTTATGTCATTGTTTTCCAATTAAATTGATGCTTGTGATGTTAGTCACTGAATTGTCTGGTCCAGCATCGATTGTTTACAGCCTGCTGGAATATTGGTCCCCCGCCATGATATTGCTGGAATATTGCTGAAAGCGGCGTAAAACCATACTCACTCACTGAAGAGTGCGGCTTTAAACAAACAAACAAACAAACAAACAAACAATAATTAACCAAATGAATCAGGAAACCCCTTCTTCTAGGTAAATACTACTTGAAATGTTGAAGTGTATACAAAGTAACATTACTTTTCAGATGTTAAGTGGGGGCACGGGTGGCCCTGTTGTCTAAGGCGCTGCAATTCGCTGTACAGAGTTGCGTCCCTTAGCATGCCAGAACCCTATGATTGTTGGTTCGATTCCCGGTTAGCCCCGATTATGTTTCTAGGTTTGTCAGCACTATACCCGTGCCCGTGGGTTTCACCGAAGTGGTAAACGTCTGAGACCTGCATCACTTGGGGCTTTCCTCCCACATTAAGCTGACACGCTGTGATATAACTGGAATACTGTTAAAAGCGGGGTTAAACCCAACTCACTCACTCACTCCGATGTTTTGTGATTGGTGCAAGTGATATGCAGTTTTGGTGTTCTGTTACAGCTACTCCCGCTCCACCATCACCGCCTTGCAGAACATGGACTTTGACAAGATCGACTTGGACCTGATTGTCTCCCTTATCAGGCACATTGCTTTAAAAAAGTCGGTGAGTTGAAAGATAGTACTTGTTGTTACCCTGCTTGTCATAAGGGAATAAAACACAGTCTGGTCATCTGAGAGTCAGTTTACTGTGTCTGGGTTGGGTATCCATGTTACACTGTGGCATGGCATTTGAGAGGGCTCACACCATAAAACTGGCTTTAGTGGTCGCAGTTGGTCCTGTGCACAGCGCACATAGCACAAATCAGATAAAGTTAAGCAACGTTGGTCTCGGAGAGTAGTCGGATGGGTGACCACGTTCAGCAGCTTGACTCCTGAGAGTTTCTAGGGCTTCGGTCCTGCCCCACAATGAAGCACATGTACCACATGTGGTGTCTCCTTAGGCAAGTGACTTTGTTCACAATGTGCCTCTGTTCACCCAGCAGTGAGTGGGTACCCGGTAGGATGAGATGGTAATGTGGCTGTTAACCTTCTAGTGCCTCACAGGCAGCTTGGGTTGTATACTCCCCAGGGAGCTGAGAATGATTGTTGAGTGCACTCTGATCCAGTGACTGGGGTAATAATGTCAAAGCACTTAGAGCATGCTTATGCATGGAGAACAGTGCCACATAAATGGACTGTTATTATTATATTTAGTCCAGACTAATACAATCACAGACAAACACATGCACGCATGCAAGCACACACACACACACACAATGTCCGAACATTGTATGTCTTATCAGATGTCATTCCAACATTTTGTCTTTGGGGGGAGCAATCCTGGTATTTGTCCGTGGCTTGGGGGAGATCGGTTCATGTCTACCTGTATCTTGTAGGAGGGGATCCTGGTGTTAGTCCCTGGCTGGGGGGACAACAGTGGTTATGTTCATGTCTACCTGTATGTTGTAGGAGGGAGCGATCCTGGTGTTTGTCCCAGGCTGGGGGGACAACAGTGGTTATGTACATGTCTACCTGTATGTTGTAGGAGGGAGCGATCCTGGTGTTAGTCCCTGGCTGGGGGGACAACAGTGGTTATGTTCATGTCTACCTGTATGTTGTAGGAGGGAGCGATCCTGGTGTTTGTCCCTGGCTGGGGGGGACAACAGTGGTTATGTACATGTCTACCTGTATGTTGTAGGAGGGAGCGATCCTGGTGATTGTCCCTGGCTGGGGGGACAACAGTGGTTATATTCATGTCTACCTGTATCTTGTAGGAGGCGATCCTGGTGTTAGTCCCTGGCTGGGGGGACAACAGTGGTTATATTCATGTCTACCTGTATCTTGTAGGAGGCGATCCTGGTGTTTGTCCCTGGCTGGGGGGACAACAGTGGTTATATTCATGTCTACCTGTATCTTGTAGGAGGCGATCCTGGTGTTTGTCCCTGGCTGGGGGGACAACAGTGGTTATATTCATGTCTACCTGTATCTTGTAGGAGGCGATCCTGGTGTTAGTCCCTGGCTGGGGGGACAACAGTGGTTATATTCATGTCTACCTGTATCTTGTAGGAGGCGATCCTGGTGTTTGTCCCTGGCTGGGGGGACAACAGTGGTTATATTCATGTCTACCTGTATCTTGTAGGAGGCGATCCTGGTGATTGTCCCTGGCTGGGGGGACAACAGTGGTTATATTCATGTCTACCTGTATCTTGTAGGAGGCGATCCTGGTGTTAGTCCCTGGCTGGGGGGACAACAGTGGTTATATTCATGTCTACCTGTATCTTGTAGGAGGCGATCCTGGTGTTTGTCCCTGGCTGGGGGGACAACAGTGGTTATATTCATGTCTACCTGTATCTTGTAGGAGGCGATCCTGGTGTTTGTCCCTGGCTGGGGGGACAACAGTGGTTATATTCATGTCTACCTGTATCTTGTAGGAGGCGATCCTGGTGTTAGTCCCTGGCTGGGGGGACAACAGTGGTTATATTCATGTCTACCTGTATCTTGTAGGAGGCGATCCTGGTGTTTGTCCCTGGCTGGGGGGACAACAGTGGTTATATTCATGTCTACCTGTATCTTGTAGGAGGCGATCCTGGTGATTGTCCCTGGCTGGGGGGACAACAGTGGTTATATTCATGTCTACCTGTATCTTGTAGGAGGCGATCCTGGTGTTAGTCCCTGGCTGGGGGGACAACAGTGGTTATATTCATGTCTACCTGTATCTTGTAGGAGGCGATCCTGGTGTTTGTCCCTGGCTGGGGGGACAACAGTGGTTATGTTCATGTCTACCTGTATGTTGTAGGAGGGAGCAACCCTGGTGTTAGTCCCTGGCTGGGGGGGGGGGGGGGGGACAACAGTGGTTATGTTCATGTCTACCTGTATGTTTTAGGAGGGAGCGATCCTGGTGTTTGTCCCAGGCTGGGGGGACAACAGTGGTTATGTTCATGTCTACCTGTATGTTTTAGGAGGGAGCGATCCTGGTGTTAGTCCCTGGCTGGGGGGACAACAGTGGTTATGTTCATGTCTACCTGTATGTTGTAGGAGGGAGCGTTCCTGGTGTTTGTCCCTGGCTGGGGGGACAACAGTGGTTATGTTCATGTCTACCTGTATCTTGTAGGAGGCGATCCTGGTGTTAGTCCCTGGCTGGGGGGGGGGGACAACAGTGGTTATGTTCATGTCTACCTGTATGTTGTAGGAGGAAGCGATCCTGGTGTTTGTCCCTGGCTGGGGGGACAACAGTGGTTATGTTCATGTCTACCTGTATGTTGTAGGAGGAAGCGATCCTGGTGTTTGTCCCTGGCTGGGGGGACAACAGTGGTTATGTTCATGTCTACCTGTATCTTGTAGGAGGCGATCCTGGTGTTAGTCCCTGGCTGGGGGGACAACAGTGGTTATGTTCATGTCTACCTGTATGTTGTAGGAGGGAGCGATCCTGGTGTTTGTCCCTGGCTGGGGGGGACAACAGTGGTTATATTCATGTCTACCTGTATGTTGTAGGAGGGAGGGATCCTGGTGTTTGTCCCTGGCTGGGGGGGGGGGGGACAACAGTGGTTATGTTCATGTCTACCTGTATGTTGTAGGAGGAAGCGATCCTGGTGTTTGTCCCTGGCTGGGGGGGACAACAGTGGTTATATTCATGTCTACCTGTATGTTGTAGGAGGGAGGGATCCTGGTGTTTGTCCCTGGCTGGGGGGGGGGGACAACAGTGGTTATGTTCATGTCTACCTGTATGTTGTAGGAGGGAGTGATCCTGGTGTTTGTCCCTGGCTTGGGTGACAACAGTGGTTATGTACATGTCTACCTGTATGTTGTAAGAGGGAGCGATCCTGGTGTTAGTCCCTGGCTGGGGGGACAACAGTGGTTATGTTCATGTCTACCTGTATGTTGTAGGAGGGAGCGTTCCTGGTGTTTGTCCCTGGCTGGGGGGACAACAGTGGTTATGTTCATGTCTACCTGTATGTTGTAGGAGGGAGCGTTCCTGGTGTTTGTCCCTGGCTGGGGGGACAACAGTGGTTATGTTCATGTCTACCTGTATCTTGTAGGAGGCGATCCTGGTGTTAGTCCCTGGCTGGGGGGGGGGGGACAACAGTGGTTATGTTCATGTCTACCTGTATGTTGTAGGAGGAAGCGATCCTGGTGTTTGTCCCTGGCTGGGGGGACAACAGTGGTTATGTTCATGTCTACCTGTATGTTGTAGGAGGAAGCGATCCTGGTGTTTGTCCCTGGCTGGGGGGACAACAGTGGTTATGTTCATGTCTACCTGTATGTTGTAGGAGGGAGCGATCCTGGTGTTTGTCCCTGGCTGGGGGGACAACAGAGGTTATATTCATGTCTACCTGTATGTTGTAGGAGGCGATCCTGGTGTTTGTCCCTGGCTAGGGGGGGGGTGGGGGGGACAACAGTGGTTATGTTCATGTCTACCTGTATGTTGTAGGAGGGAGCGATCCTGGTGTTAGTCCCTGGCTGGGGGGACAACAGTGGTTATGTTCATGTCTACCTGTATGTTGTAGGAGGGAGCGATCCTGGTGTTTGTCCCTGGCTGGGGGGGACAACAGTGGTTATATTCATGTCTACCTGTATGTTGTAGGAGGGAGGGATCCTGGTGTTTGTCCCTGGCTGGGGGGGGGGGGGACAACAGTGGTTATGTTCATGTCTACCTGTATGTTGTAGGAGGAAGCGATCCTGGTGTTTGTCCCTGGCTGGGGGGGACAACAGTGGTTATATTCATGTCTACCTGTATGTTGTAGGAGGGAGGGATCCTGGTGTTTGTCCCTGGCTGGGGGGGGGGGACAACAGTGGTTATGTTCATGTCTACCTGTATGTTGTAGGAGGGAGTGATCCTGGTGTTTGTCCCTGGCTTGGGTGACAACAGTGGTTATGTACATGTCTACCTGTATGTTGTAAGAGGGAGCGATCCTGGTGTTAGTCCCTGGCTGGGGGGACAACAGTGGTTATGTTCATGTCTACCTGTATGTTGTAGGAGGGAGCGTTCCTGGTGTTTGTCCCTGGCTGGGGGGACAACAGTGGTTATGTTCATGTCTACCTGTATCTTGTAGGAGGCGATCCTGGTGTTAGTCCCTGGCTGGGGGGACAACAGTGGTTATGTTCATGTCTACCTGTATGTTGTAGGAGGGAGCGATCCTGGTGTTAGTCCCTGGCTGGGGGGACAACAGTGGTTATGTTCATGTCTACCTGTATGTTGTAGGAGGGAGCGTTCCTGGTGTTAGTCCCTGGCTGGGGGGACAACAGTGGTTATGTTCATGTCTACCTGTATGTTGTAGGAGGGAGCGTTCCTGGTGTTAGTCCCTGGCTGGGGGGACAACAGTGGTTATGTTCATGTCTACCTGTATGTTGTAGGAGGGAGCGATCCTGGTGTTTGTCCCTGGCTGGGGGGACAACAGTGGTTATGTTCATGTCTACCTGTATGTTGTAGGAGGGAGCGATCCTGGTGTTTGTCCCTGGCTGGGGGGACAACAGTGGTTATATTCATGTCTACCTGTATGTTGTAGGAGGGAGGGATCCTGGTGTTTGTCCCTGGCTGAGGGGGGGGGACAACAGTGGTTATGTTCATGTCTACCTGTATGTTGTAGGAGGAAGCGATCCTGGTGTTTGTCCCTGGCTGGGGGGGACAACAGTGGTTATATTCATGTCTACCTGTATGTTGTAGGAGGGAGGGATCCTGGTGTTTGTCCCTGGCTGGGGGGGGGGGGACAACAGTGGTTATGTTCATGTCTACCTGTATGTTGTAGGAGGAAGCGATCCTGGTGTTTGTCCCTGGCTGGGGGGGACAACAGTGGTTATATTCATGTCTACCTGTATGTTGTAGGAGGGAGGGATCCTGGTGTTTGTCCCTGGCTGGGGGGGGGGGACAACAGTGGTTATGTTCATGTCTACCTGTATGTTGTAGGAGGAAGCGATCCTGGTGTTTGTCCCTGGCTGGGGGGACAACAGTGGTTATGTTCATGTCTACCTGTATCTTGTAGGAGGCGATCCTGGTGTTAGTCCCTGGCTGGGGGGACAACAGTGGTTATATTCATGTCTACCTGTATGTTGTAGGAGGGAGCGATCCTGGTGTTTGTCCCTGGCTGGGGGGACAACACTGGTTATGTTCATGTCTACCTGTATGTTGTAGGAGGGAGCGATCCTGGTGTTAGTCCCTGGCTGGGGGGACAACACTGGTTATGTTCATGTCTACCTGTATGTTGTAGGAGGGAGTGATCCTGGTGTTTGTCCCTGGCTGGGGGGGGGACAACAGTGGTTATGTTCATGTCTACCTGTATGTTGTAGGAGGGAGTGATCCTGGTGTTTGTCTCTGGCTGGGGGGACAACAGTGGTTATGTTCATGTCTACCTGTATGTTGTAGGAGGGAGTGATCCTGGTGTTTGTCCCTGGCTGGGGGGACAACACTGGCTATGTTCATGTCTACCTGTATGTTGTAGGAGGGAGTGATCCTGGTGTTTGTCTCTGGCTGGGGGGACAACAGTGGTTATGTTCATGTCTACCTGTATGTTGTAGGAGGGAGTGATCCTGGTGTTAGTCCCTGGCTGGGGGGACAACAGTGGTTATGTTCATGTCTACCTGTATGTTGTAGGAGGCGTTCCTGGTGTTAGTCCCTGGCTGGGGGGACAACAGTGGTTATGTTCATGTCTACCTGTATGTTGTAGGAGGGAGCGATCCTGGTGTTTGTCCCTGGCTGGGGGGACAACAGAGGTTATATTCATGTCTACCTGTATGTTGTAGGAGGCGATCCTGGTGTTTGTCCCTGGCTAGGGGGGGGGTGGGGGGGACAACAGTGGTTATGTTCATGTCTACCTGTATGTTGTAGGAGGGAGCGATCCTGGTGTTTGTCCCTGGCTGGGGGGACAACAGTGGTTATGTTCATGTCTACCTGTATGTTGTAGGAGGCGATCCTGGTGTTTGTCCCTGGCTGGGGGGACAACAGTGGTTATGTTCATGTCTACCTGTATGTTGTAGGAGGGAGCGATCCTGGTGTTTGTCCCTGGCTGGGGGGACAACAGTGGTTATGTTCATGTCTACCTGTATGTTGTAGGAGGGAGCGATCCTGGTGTTTGTCCCTGGCTGGGAGGAGATCAGCAAAATCCACAAGATGATGCAGGCAGACAGGATGTTCACCTCAGGTGAGTTGCCTCCCCCTACTGTCAAAAACCACTACCAGAGGGACTGGACACAAGCAGAGTAGTAATTGAGATGGCTGAAGCCAGGGATTTTCCTGTATCTTTCTATTTCTGAGGCCAAGGGAACCACAGTCATGCTTTGTGTGGATCCCAGTCATGGTTATTGGGGGTCCATACACCAAACAACAACTAATGAATCTGGTATTTGAGAAGCCGACCTGTGAAGATCCAGGGTAGAATAGGTCTTCAGTAACCCATGCTTGCCGCAAAAGGCGACGCTGCTTGTCGTAAGAGGCGACCAATGGCATCGGGTGGTCAGACTCGCGGACTTGGTTGATACATGTCATCTTATCCATATTGTTTGTGTTCCTATCCATTTTTCATGCAATATTGTGTGCCCTGTCCAACCATAGGTGGCAGACATGTGTTCATTTGCACAATAGGCCTACACAAGGTTGTCAAAAGTGGCACAAGGGGGCACAGGTGGCCTAGTCGTCTGAGGTGCCGCGATTCGCTGTGCAGAGTTGCATCCCTTGGGCACGCCAGAAACCTATGATTGTGGGTTTGAATCCCGGTTCGCCCAAATTATGTTTCTAGGTTTGTCAGCACCAACCGTGCTCATGGGTTTCACCGAAGTGGTAATCGTCGGTGACCTGCATCACTTCGGGCTTTCCTCCCACATTAAGCTGACACACCGTGATATAACTGGAATACTGTTAAAAGCGGCGTTAAACCCAACTCACTCACGAAGGTGGCACAATATTTGGTATTCAAAGTTGTGGGTTGGAGGCTCCAATTTGTCCTGATTCAGTCCATTTCCCATCATGCCCATGTATTTTACAAATATGGTAAATGTCATTTGGGGCACAAAGGTAAAAGTAATCCTATTAATGCCAAGATGGCGCGAAAAAGAGAGAATGATGAGTTAATGGGCTTGGTCACATGGTTCCGGTGCGCATGCGCAGAGTGAGGGTGCGTTTGGGTGAGCTGTTTTCTCTGTTCTTTGGGAACAGCACAGGACTTTTCCACTACCTATTCGGAAGAGAGAGAGAGATAAGCAATAAGTATGAGTCAGGATAAGTATAAATGATATTTTTACTCTAAAAAATACATTTTTTAAGTAAGGGACATTATTTATTGATATTGTACAAATGAGCTATTTCAAACATAGAAAACATAAAATGAGAAATTACTTTATACTATGACACAGCCAAATGTTTTTGTCAGCTGGTGCAGAAGAACAGGTGTTTTTCATTTTTGGTCATCTCTGCTTTTGTTGTTTAGGCTGAAAAAAAATAGTCTTGGTTCTCATCATAAAATCTGCCGCACATTTTGTTTTCATTTCCATTTTCCCCCCAAAATATAAAAGAATCATAATACTAAAAACAAATATGATCCAATATAACACGCAGTTACTTACCTTAACATACGCGCTGCTTTACCGTGCATCAAATTTCACAAACTAGTGGGGACGGTCGGGTAGCCTAGTGGTTAAAGCATTCGCTCGTCTCGCCGACAACCTGGGTTCGATTCCCGACATGGGTACAATGTGTGAAGCCCATTTCTGGTGTCCCCCGCCGTGATATTGCTGGATTATTGCCAAAAGCGGCGTTAAACCATACTTACCCTAACCTACTTGCCTTTACATGCGCACTGGACCGCCTCCGTGGTCTAGTGGTAGAGCGTCCGCCTTTGTGGCCATTTTGACTTTTTTGAGGCCATTTTGACTTTTTGGAGGCCGTTCTGACATGAGGCTGTTTCGACTACAACCCCAACCAGGCGGGTAGCTCAGTTGATAAAGCATATGTCGAAGGTCGTGGTTCACTTCTGGCCATGTGTGATTTCACCGTGTCACTTGTTTCAGATAAGTTTCGCATCATCCCACTTCACTCACTCATGCCAACCGTCAATCAGAGGGAGGTGTTTGATAGGCCGGCACCTGGAGTCAGGAAGGTTGTCATAGCAACCAATATTGCTGAAACAAGGTTTGTTGATTTCATTGTTAGAATTTTGTAGATGTAATGGAAATGAACAGAATTTTTTTAATGATTAGGAAACATGATAGGACTTTGAATTGTGTCTGTGTGCCACACGTTTTCGATCTTAAAACAGTTGTCCAACCCACATAGCACTTAAAAAGTCTGTGACAGTGAACAAGTTGATTTTCTTTTCCTAGCTGTCTATTCAGTTTTCTCACTTTATCTGCCCCAATAAGTAAGTAATAAGTAATAAGTAAGACCCAAAACCTTGAAGTTTGAGGTCTGTCATGAATAATCCTTAAATACAGATTATTCCTTGAAGATCGATAATCCTTAAATACAGATTATTCCTTAAAGATCGATAATCCTTAAATACAGATTATTCCTTAAAGATCGATAATCCTTAAAAACAGATTATTCCTTGAAGATCGATAATCCTTAAATAAAGATTATTCCTTGAAGATCGATAATCCTTAAATACAGAATATTCCTTGAAGATCGATAATCCTTAAATACAGATTATTCCTTGAAGATCGATAATCCTTAAATACAGATTATTCCTTGAAGATCGATAACGTGCCTTGAAACAACTTTGAATTTTCCTGACTAGTCCCCACATAAAGAAATTTAAATACCTAACAATAAATATATCTTTTAATAGTTTGGAATTAAAATTGCAATCTGTTATAAATTCCAAAAAAACAATTTGTGTCTGATCTATTTAGTGTCAGTAACCATAGAGTTATGGCCTTTCCAATGGCTGCTTCAGTTACTGCTTCTTTTAACAGATGACTAAATTGGATTGGGTAATCTGTCTTGGTGACTTGGCTGATTGGTGTCATTGTCCCCCGCCGCGCGAAAGCGCGAAGCGGGGGATATAGTATTCACGACCGTCCGTACGTACGTCCCACCTGTTTGTTGCCACGATATCTCAAGAACTAAACACTGGATTGTCTTCATATTTGGAACTATGGTGTATATACAGACTCCGTAGACACCAGTCGGTTTTGGTGACCTTGACCTCATTTTCGAAAATCTGCTTTTGGAGTTGGAAAACAGTGTTGCCACGATATCTCAAGAACTAAACACTGGATTGTCTTCATATTTGGAACTATGGTGTATATACAGACACCGAAGACACCAGTCGGTTTTGGTGACCTTGACCCCATTTTCAAGGTCACAGCAGGCAAATCTGCTTTTGGCGTTGGAAAACGGTGTTGCCGCGATATCTCAAGAACTAAACACTGGATTGTTTTCATATTTGGAACTATGGTGTATATACAGACTCTGCAGACACCAGTCGGTTTTGGTGACCTTGACCCCATTTTAAAGGTCAAGGCAGGCAAATCTGCTTTTGGAGTTGGAAAACGGTGTTGCCGCGATATCTCAAGAACTAATTGCTGAATTGTCTTCATATTTGGTACTATGGTGTATATACAAGCGGGGGACATTTCGTCACTTTGTGACAAATACTTGTTGTACTCTGACTCTGACGTTGTGTGTTTCAGCATTACTATCGACGACGTCGTGTACGTTATCGACTGCGGCAAGATCAAGGTGAAGGACTTTCAGCCAGAGAACAACCTCAGCACCCTGGAGGCCAAGTGGGTCTCCAAGGCCAACTCGAAACAGAGGCGTGGCCGAGCGGGCAGGTGGGTGTCTGGAGTCTTTGGTCAAATTCAGAGACTTTTGATTGTGGGTTTGATTCTCAGATTTGTCTTAATTATGTTTCTTGGTTTGTGAGCACAATACACATTTTCATGGATTTCATCAAGGTAGTAAACATATACGAGCTGCATTACTTCAGACTCCCTCCCACTGTGTAACTTAAATACTGTTAAAAAGGTGTTAACCCCATCCATCCAGCCATCCATCTATTAAGCCAGCCAGCCAGCCATTCATCCATTCATCCATCCATCCATCCATCCATCCATCCATCCATTCAGCCATCCATCCATACACGCACGCAGCCAACTAATCACCCGACTACCCAACGAACCAACCCTCCAAGTAACCATCCATCCATCCTTCCATCACTCCATTCATCCATCCAGCCATCCAGCCATTCAGCCATCCATCCATACACGCACACAGCCAACTAATCACCCAACTACCCAACAAACCAACTCCCCAAGTAACCATCCATTCATCCATTCATCCATCCATTCATCCATCCATCCATCCATCCATCAATACACGCACGCAGCCAACTAATCACCCGACTACCCAACGAACCAACCCCCCAAGTAACCATCCATTCATCCATCCATCTGTCCGTCCATCCAACCAACCTAACGCCCCAGTAAATGGCATAAAGACATTTTCCTTTTTCAATCAACATCCTTCTATTTCATTACAAAATTTGAAAATAGTCTTTTGGAATGGTCTGTTCCAGAGTTCAGCCCGGTGTGTGCTACCATCTGTATACGGGTCTGAAGTGGACGGAGGTCGATGATTACCTCCCCCCAGAGATTCTGCGGACTCGACTTGAGGAACTTTGCCTGCACATCAAGGTCAGACATACTCTTGCAATTTTATATCCCATAAAAGTAAATGAAATGTAGGAGCAACACTAATTAAGAAAAAAAATTATTTGATGATTTTTTTGTGAAAAGATTTTCTCTCGTCTTTTTTACTATGTTAATTTTGAAAAATCAAATTAATTATTTTCTTGTTATGAATTGTAACCATAGTATTCTCTTTTAATAATTGAAGAATTTATTGGTTTCATTCAGCAAGAACAACAGACTGTACTGTTGTAATGCATTATTCGTCATCATGATAGTTCTGGAATTGTGGTCTTGGTGTTTTCAGCTGTTAAAGTTGGGGAAGATTGAACCGTTCATAGCTAAGGCTATCCAACAGCCATCTATGGAGGCGCTACACAGGGCCATCATCACGCTGCAGAATTTGGTGAGGCGCTGACCGTCATGTGAAAATCAAGATTGGGGACAGTTGTTCAGTGATAGTCAAGGGGAGATAATTCAGTCGGCTAATTTTTCAAATTATCCCCCCTTGACCATTGACATTTGAAATGATGCAGTTAAATAATTATGATGCGAAATGTTATTTTTATGAAGTCCTTTTGTTTTCATGGAGACGTGTGACATTACTATCACAGTAGGGATCTTTTTACTCTAATGTAGACATGTTTCTGAGGAAGAATCCCTTCTAAGACAGACATAGTCAATAGGATCGTAAGCTGGTGATTGTGATTTTATGGCCACTATAATTTATATATGTGTCTCAGAATGCCTTGGACAAGGATGAGAACCTGCTTCCTCTCGGCTATCATCTGGCGCGTATGCCGGTCGACCCTCACACGGGGAAGATGATCCTGTTCGGCGCCATGTTCTGCTGTCTGGACCCCATCCTCACTGTTGCTGCCAGCCTCAGCTTCAAGGACGCCTTCTTTATACCTCTGGTAAGACTCAGCATTGTAGTGTATGACTTGGGAATAACCATCAACAACAATAAGTGCATTTATAATGCGCCAGATTCCATTCACCAAGTGGATGCTCATAGCGCTACACTATTATTACCCTGGTCAATGGATCAATATGCACCTGATTTTCATTCTCAGCTCCCTGGGGAGTATACAACCCAAGCCGCCTGTGAGGCGCTAGGTTAACAGCCACATTACCATCTCATCCTGCCGGGTACCCACTCACTGCTGGGTGAACAGAGGCACATTGCGAACAAAGTCACTTGCTTAAGGAGACACCACATGTGGTACATATGCTTCATTGTGGGGCAGGACCTAAGCCCTTGAAACTCTCAGGAGTCAAGCTGCTGAACGTGGTCACCCATCCAACTACTCTCCGAGACCAACGTTGCTTATTTTCACCTGATTTGTGATCTGTGCGCTGTGCACAGGACCACATGCCACCACTATAAGTGGAATAAGTGGAGATGTTGTTTTGTTTCAATTAGTTCCCTTCCAATGGAGCAAACATTTGAGTTTCACTGGATGGATGGGGGTGGTAGGGTGTTCTGAAAAAATAATCCCTTGTTTTACTGAAAACATTTCATATGCTTTGCGTAGTAGGAACAGGGGCAGTCGGGTAGTCTAGTTGTTAAAGTTCGCTCGTCACGCCGAAGACCTGGGTTCGATTCCCGACATGGGTACAATGTGTGAAGCCAATTTCTGGTGTCCCCCGCCGTGATATTGCTGGAATATTGCTAAAAGCGGCATAAAACCATACTCACTCACTCATAGTAGGAACAAATAGAATGGGCCCTTTTCTTGCAGACAAGTGTCCAAAGAATATATTTCTTTATTTATACGGGGCGGTCGGGTAGCCTACTGGTTGAAGCGTTCCCTCGTCACGCCGAAGACGCGGGTTCGATTCCCGACATGGGTACAATGTGTGAAGCCCATTTCTGGTGTCCCCCACCATGATATTGCTGGAATATTGATAAAAGCAGCGTAAAAACTTCACTCACTCACTTAATGCATACAATTTTTTAACTTATCCTGCATTACCTCTTTATGAATTTACTGCTGTTATTTGACAGAGAGATGAAGCTCTGTGAGAATGATATAAATCATAAATAAACGCTGAATAGTGAACAAGCAAGGGATGACAGAAGATAGCTGGAGCTTTATTACACATGACTTGTCAGTCTGGTTGACAAGCAGCAATGTGATGATCCGTGACGTCATCACTCACTCACTCACATAAACAATTGCCTGTAAAAGGCGACTATGCTTGTGGTAAGAGGAGACTAACAGAATCAGGTGGTCTGGCTCGCTGACTTGGTTAATGCATGTCATCGTATCCCAAATGCGTGGATCGATGCTCATTTTGTCAATCAATGGTCCAGACTCAATTATTTACAGACCGCTGTCATATAGCATGAATGTTTCTGAGTGTGGCGTTAAACAAATAAATAATTGCCCGAATGTGTTTGTAAATTACCTGGTTATTCCGCAGGGCAAGGAGGAGGAAGCTGACCGGGCGCGGAAGGCGTTGTCCGAGGATTCCAAGAGTGACCACGTCATGCTCATCAAGGCGTACGAGGTAAGGACAACAGTAAAGCAGTGCACATGTTAAGGGAAGTAACTGCGTCCTATGTTGAATCACATTTTTTTTATGTGTTATCTTTTTTAATTTTTGTTTTTTGAAAATGGAAATAAAAATGAAACATGCAGCAGACTTTATGATGATGCGGGCGGTGCCTGAGAACCAAGACTATTAATTTTTTTAAGTGGTTAATTTGGTAAAAGAACCCATTGCTGAAACTAATCATTGCTTTTAAAAGTTATCTTTCCTTATCAGGGCTGGGAGAGGGCAAAGTCCCGAGGAAACGATCGAGACTATTGCTGGCAGAACTTCCTGTCTCCGAGCACATTGCGGGTAAGTAAACGTTCCCTCCACTGCCACTGTGTGCTACAGTTCACCAGGGGGCAAGGGGGGCCCAGACGTCTAAGGCGCTGCGACTCGCTGTGCAGAGTACTGTCCCTTGGGCACGCCAGAAACCTATGATTGTGGGTTAGAATCCCTGTTCACCCTGATTATGTTTCTAGGTTTTATCAGCCCCATACCCGTGCTCGTGGGTTTCACCAAAGTGGTAAACATCTGAGACCTGCATCACTTAGTGCTTTCCTCCCACATTAACCTGACACACCGCGATGTGACTGGAATACTGTTAAAAGTGGCGTTAAACCCAACTCACTCACTCACTCACTACAGTTCACCATATGCACAATATAGCATATGTACACAACACCCCAAACTTGTCTTTATGCATTCATTTCAGAAAAGTTTAGCCTTGGTTGCCCAATAGAAATTGTACTAGACGAAGGCTTCCGTCATCTTCCTGAGGCAAGGGTGTTAACTGACTATAAAAGTCCAGATTCCACCCTTGCCGAACAAGGCTGGAATTCCGGAGTTACATTTTGGCTGGACAAACGAGTCTATGCATAGTCCAATCAAAATCGAATAACGAAGAAGACATCCAGTTTTTAAACAACATGGCTTCAAATGTGCAAATTTCAGTTTTTGCAGGATTTGCAAAACATATGTAATATTTTCATATTATTAATCAAGGTGCTGAAGTGATTTGATGCACTTAACAGTGTAAGACCCGTTTTATCACAATATAGATCTTGATTATCGATCAGATCGTCCTGACTGGGCTCAGCCATTTTGTTTGAAGCAAATACAAGTGACATTGGAGATGGAACCTGATTGGTCAATAGAAGGGACATAGATGGGACATAACTCATAATAGTCACTGGTGGCACTAGGTTCGAGCGCAGAAATTCCATCCTATAGGTTTGAAACTGGACTTATATAGCCAGTTGGCTCCCTTGCCTCTGGAAGATGGGCTTCTGTCAACATGGCCTGGGACCAAACTTTGCAGACTGATATATTCAATGTAGTGTGTAATCGTACAGTTTGCCTTTACAGCTGTTGACAGACAATAAGGTGTGTATTGTACAGCTTGCTATTACAGCTGTTGACAGACAATATAGTGTGTAATCGTACAGTTTGCCTTTACAGCTGTTGACAGACAATAAGGTGTGTATTGTAGAGCTTGCTATTACAGCTGTTGACAGACAATAAGGTGTTTATTGTACAGCTTGCTATTACAGCTGTTGACAGACAATGTGGTGTGTATTGTACAGCTTACTATTACAGCTGTTGACAGACAATATAGTGTGTATTGTACAGCTTGCTATTACAGCTGTTGACAGACAATAAGGTGTGTATTGTACAGCTTACTATTACAGCTGTTGACAGACAATAAAGTGTGTATTGTACAGCTTGCTATTACAGCAGTTGACAGACAATATAGTGTGTATTGTACAGCTTACTATTACAGCTGTTGACAGACAATAAGGTGTGTATTGTACAGCTTGCCATTACAGCTCTTGACAGACAATAAGGTGTGTATTGTACAGCTTGCCATTACAGCTGTTGACAGACAATAAGGTGTGTATTGTACATCTTACTATTACAGCTGTTGACAGACAATATAGTGTGTGTTGTACAGCTTGCTATTACAGCAGTTGACAGACAGTATAGTATGTATTGTACAGCTTACTATTACAGCTGTTGACAGACAATATAGTGTGTATTGTACAGCTTACTATTACAGCTGTTGACAGACAATATAGTATGTATTGTACAGCTTACTATTACAGCTGTTGACAGACAGTATAGTATGTATTGTACAGCTTACTATTACAGCTGTTGACAGACAATGTGGTGTGTATTGTACAGCTTACTATTACAGCTGTTGACAGACAATAAAGTCTGTATTGTACAGCTTACTATTACAGCAGTTGACAGACAATATAGTGTGTATTGTACAGCTTACTATTACAGCTGTTGACAGACAATATAGTGTGTATTGTACAGCTTACTATTACAGCTGTTGACAGACAATAAGGTGTGTATTGTACAGCTTACTATTACAGCTGTTGACAGACAATATAGAGTGTAATCGTACAGCTTGCCATTACAACTGTTGACAGACAGTATAGTGTTTAATCATACAGCTTGTTATTACAGCTGTTGACAGACAAAATAGTGTGTTATCGTACAGCTTGCTGTTACAGCTGTTGACAGACAATAGAGTGTGTTATCATACAGCTTGCCATTACAGCTGTTGACAGACAATATAGTGTGTATTGTACAGCTTGCTGTTACAGCTGTTGACAGACAATATAGTGTGTATTGTACAGCTTACTATTACAGCTGTTGACAGACAATATAGTGTGTATTGTACAGCTTACTATTACAGCTGTTGACAGACAATAAGGTGTGTATTGTACAGCTTGCTATTACAGCAGTTGACAGACAATATAGTGTGTATTGTACAGCTTACTATTACAGCTGTTGACAGACAATAAAGTGTGTATTGTACAGCTTGCTATTACAGCAGTTGACAGACAATATAGTGTGTATTGTACAGCTTACTATTACAGCTGCTGACAGACAATACGGTGTGTATTGTACAGCTTACTATTACAGCAGTTGACAGACAATATAGTGTGTATTGTACAGCTTACTATTACAGCCGTTGACAGACAATGTGGTGTGTAATCGTACAGCTTGCCATTACAACTGTTGACAGACAGTATAGTGTGTAATCGTACAGCTTGTTATTACAGCTGTTGACAGACAAAATAGTGTGTTATCGTACAGCTTGCTGTTACAGCTGTTGACAGACAATATAGTGTGTTATCGTACAGCTTGCCATTACAGCTGTTGACAGACAATATAGTGTGTATTGTACAGCTTGCTGTTACAGCTGTTGACAGACAATGTAGTGTGTATTGTACAGCTTACTATTACAGCAGTTGACAGACAATATAGTGTGTATTGTACAGCTTGCTATTACAGCTGTTGACAGACAATATAGTGTGTTATCGTACAGCTTGCCATTACAGCTGTTGACAGACAATAAGGTGTGTATTGTACAGCTTACTATTACAGCTGTTGACAGACAATGTGGTGTGTATTGTACAGCTTACTATTACAGCTGTTGACAGACAATAAGGTGTGTATTGTACAGCTTACTATTACAGCAGTTGACAGACAATATAATGTGTATTGTACAGCTTGCTATTACAGCTGTTGACAGACAATATAGTGTTTATTGTACAGCTTACTATTACAGCTGTTGACAGACAATATAGTGTGTATTGTACAGCTTACTATTACAGCTGTTGACAGACAATATAGTGTGTATTGTACAGCTTACTATTACAGCAGTTGACAGACAATATAGTGTGTATTGTACAGCTTACTATTACAGCTGTTGACAGACAATATAGTGTGTATTGTACAGCTTACTATTACAGCAGTTGACAGACAATATAGTGTGTTATCGTACAGCTTGCCATTACAGCTGTTGACAGACAATATAGTGTGTATTGTACAGCTTACTATTACAGCTGTTGACAGACAATATAGTGTGTATTGTACAGCTTACTATTACAGCTGTTGACAGACAATAAGGTGTGTATTGTACAGCTTGCTATTACAGCTGTTGACAGACAATATAGTGTGTAATCATACAGCTTGCTATTACAGCTGTTGACAGATAATATAGTGTGTAATCATACAGCTTGCTGTTACAGCTGTTGACAGACAATATAGTGTGTAATCGTACAGCTTGCTGTTACAGCTGTTGACAGACAATATAGTGTGTAATCGTACAGCTTGCTGTTACAGCTGTTGAAGGACATGAAGGGCCAGTTGGCCCAGCTGTTACTGGAGCTGGGGTTCATCAAAAACAAGAATCCGAAAGACCTGGCGGCCAACGTCAATTCTAGTAAGTCAAATTTCTAAGACCTGGGTACCTTCTGAATATATTTGTGAAAAATAGTGTAACAGTTTTTCATATTGTGCTGATAAAGACCATGAGTAGAGAGAGGTTTCCCTGTTGCTGTAGGCAGAGTAAGTTGCAGTGAAGTATTGTTTGTTTTGTTTGTTTGTTTGTTGTTCAACGCTGCACTCTGCAATATTCCAGCTATATATGACAGCGGTCTGTAATAATCAAGTCTTGACCACACTCCAGTGATGGACGTCATGAGCATCAATCTACGCAACTGGGTTATGATGACATGCATCAACCAAGTCAGCAAGCCTGATCACCTGATCTCGTTAGTCTCCTCTTACGACAAGCCTTTAATAGAAAGTCACTGCTGTCAGAAAAGTCTTTAAGCCTGTAAAGTTTATATCAGGATAAGATTGTTTTCTGTTCTCTCGTTGAACAAGACCTTAGCCATGATAGTTGGGGTTTAATAAAGAAAATAATTAAATACACTACTGCTCACAAGTATTTACCTCTTCTTATTGTGAAATTTTTGTGATTGTTTTACCACAGCAGCACAAATACAGTAATTCTGCAAAGTCGGCCCATTCTGCAAATTTTCAACAGTAATTCTGCAAACATCCCACAGTAAATCCACAAAAGTTTTCAGAACTATACCATCATAAACATGTTGTTTGTTTGTGTGTAACACTGCACCCAGCATTATTCCAGTAGAGATGTAAGTATATTTGAGTAGTAGTGTATTTCTATGCATTTTGTATTTCTTGTAGACATTAAGGACAGCTACATTGATAAGATCCATATTAATTTGTTTACGCAACTGTTATAGTTAGGTTTATATTTCTTAAAGACAAATAAAGATGTTTCTGATACAGATGTCTTGCAAAATCTTTAAAATCATTTCTTTCCTGGAACTTAAAAGTTCTTTTTGGATTTTCTGGCTAAACAAATATCTTATTCCTTTGTGTTTCATATCATCCTTTGTTCATCGTTCTTGTGATGCAGAGGGCGGTCGGGTAGCCTAGTGGTTAAAGCGTTTGCTCCTTACGCCGAAGACCCGGTACAATGGGTACAATGTGTGAAGCCCATTTCTGGTGTCCCCCGCCGTGATATTGCTGGAATATTGCTATAAGCGGCGTAAAACCATACTCACTCACTTACTGTTCAACACTTAAGGACTGACTTGTATTTATTTGCTGTTTCATTCCTTTTCGGCCTTCAGTCTCAAAAGGATTATATGGACAATGAATATGTCAAAATGTCCTGTGCATGATACATGTGAACAGAGAGGGAATTCCCTCGGCTGTAATCTTGGGATTCCCCGACATTCCGCAGTAATAAAAGTAGTCCGCCTCGGTGGACGTGGCTTAATTTTTTACATTCATTGGGAAATGAATGCAATAACAGGTGACCAATTCAGCTAATCAGAATGCAGGAATTTCAATGAACACAACGAAATTTTAATTATTGTGATATACCGTATTCGACGTAATAAGCGCCCAGGGCTCTCTCAAAATTAGAAAAAGGGGGCTCTTATTAAAATATTATTTTGGTGAAAAAATCAGAGTTGAAAGATAAATTTCGTGGTTTATGCTGACAGCCTGAAATGTTTATATCCGATTGATGTATTTTTCCAGAATTTAATCATAATTAAGAGTGCATAAATACATCTTTTGTACATTGATCAATCGGAAGGGGTGCTTATTGGGATCGTTCACTAGCCAATATATTAATAATATCATCGTGGGCACTTATTAAAGTGGGGCGCTTATTACGTCGAATACGGTAACTGAAATACTATTCAAAGCAGCGTTAAAACCAACTCACTCTCTCCTTTGTGCAGATAACTACGGGCTGGTGAAGGCAGTGCTCTGTGCAGGACTTTATCCCAATGTAGCCAAAGTGGCTAAATGTCCGAGACCAGGGGCACCGCCGTACAAGTAAGTGACATGATCATCACCATGTTTAACTCAGCAAATCCACCGAGGAACCCTCAACTTCAGTAAGGGGTGGTCGGGTAGCCTAGTGGTTAAAGCGTTCGCTTGTCACGCTGAAGACCCAGGTTCGATTCCCGACATGGGTACAATGTGTGAAGCCCATTTCTGGTGTCCCCCGCTGTGATATTGCTAAAAGCGGCGTAAAACCATACTAACTCACTAAGATGGAGAGAGTTTGTAGCTAATCCCACAATCAAAAAACAAACAGCTGCATTAGTTTAGTGGCTGTTTAGAAAACATCACAATGGAGGTCACTCATCTACAAATAGCACTCACTCAACTTCAGTGAACTAGGCTTATATGTTATAATTTGGGGGAAACTCCTGAATTTGGCTTATCAGGACGACTTCAACACAATGAAAATATTGAAAAATCAAATCAAGATATCCGGGAACAGTTAATGATGAATGAAGAAGAAATCAACCCGAAACCAGACATTTCATTTTCAGGCAACTGTAAATTTATCTGGTGAAAGTGAGGTAGTCATATTAATCCCACTGATGTGGAAAACTTTTAATAATGCTGCAAAAATGATCATACCTCTGGCATGTCCAAGTACACAAGAATGGCTAAAATGAGAGAAAATGGAGAAAGTCATACTATGGGCCAAGACCCAGCAGGAATTATTTACCATGATATTATGTTTCACTGCTTTTGTCCACATCCTAATGACTTGCTCATGTTCAAAAACACGCTTCCTGAAAACATCAAAATCACGCTTCCTGAAAACATCAAAATAGGCAGATTGGACACAGTCTTGCCTTTCCTGTTCATCTTTTGTTGATGTAAGTCGCAACATGCAGTTTTTGAGTCGGACAAATGAACAATAAACACATCTGATAATTTTCATCATTTGAAAAACCTCTCGTTTCTGTAATTATGCAAATCCCCGGGCTGATACAGCTCTTATCTTACATTGTCCTTTGATGTCCATGATGCTTCATGGAATGGTCTTTATGCATGAGAAATAATGATTAAAATGCTCTTTGGACAATATATATACGAGACTTTTTATAACTCATTCATGCAGTACTTGAGGGACAGGTTCAAGTTCTTTGTCATTTATAGGGGCACGGGTGGCACAGTCATCTAAGGCACTGCGATTCGCTGTGCAGAGTTGTGTCCCTTGGGCACGCCAGAAACCTATGATTGTGAGTTCGAATCCCGGTTCACCCCGATTATGTTTCTAGGTTTGTCAGCTCCATACCCGTGCTCGTGGGTTTCACCAAAGTGGTAAACGTCTGAGACCTGCATCACTTGGGGCTTTCCTCCCACATTAAGCTGACATGACGTGATATGACTGGAATACCGTTAATAGGGGTGCTAACACTAACCCACTCTTCGTTATTTTCAGAATGGTGTCACTCTACACTCGACATGAAGGCAAAGCCGATGTACATCCTAAGTCTGTCAACTCCAGAGAGAATTTCTTTGAGTCCAAGTGGATGGTGTTCTACCACAAGTTAAAGACGACAAAGGTACTTTTGCAGTGGGACCCGTGAAGATCCGGGGTAGAACAGGTCTTCAGCAACCCATGCTTGCCATAAAAGGCGGCTATGCTTGTCGTAAGAGGCTCAGTTGATGCATGTCATAGTATCCCAATTACGTGCTCATGACATCAATCACTGGATTGTCTGGACCAGACTCGATTATATACAGACCGCCATCATATAGCTGGAATATATAGCTGTCCGTTTTTGCTATAATTGATGGTAGTGGTCCCGTTGGCTATGTGAGGTGAAATTGGGTTTAACGTCACATCCAAGATTATTGCACTTATAGGGGGCACGGGTGGCCCAGTCGTCTAAGGCGCCGCGATTTGCTGTGCAGAGTTGCGTCCCTTGGGCACGCCAGAAACCTATGATTGTGGATTTGTCAGAACCATACCCGTGCTTTCCTCCCACATTAAGCTGACACGCCGTGATATAACTGGAATAATGTTAAAAGCAGCGTTAAACCCAACTCACTCACCCCCTATGATGCTCTAATATATGTGAAATCGTGAAATCGTGAAATATAACTTCTGGAAGCCTGTCGTATGAATCAAGTGTTGGGTGTATTCCTGGTATGTTGTTTGTTGTAGGTGTACGTCCACGACTGCACGATGGTGTCGCCATATCCACTGCTGTTCTTCGGAGGAGACATTGGTTATGGGAAGGTTAGATTTCTCCATGACTTTTCAATTAGTGCCATCATGATAGTAATCCTTTGACAATACTGCAATGAATAACTGCAAATCTACTCGCGTGCTGTCAATCACTATAACTACGCTGTCAGTTTCAAATAAAATTTCATGGCAACAGACTTTTGCTGATTAAACATGTCTTCATGCAGTATTGTCTTTGGCTGTTTCTACAGATGCACACAATTTGACGTATTTCTTTTTAAAGTGGTGGGGCGGTCGGGTAGCCTCGTGGTTAAAGCGTTCGCTCGTCAGGCTGAAGACCTGGGTTCAAATCCCGACATGGGTACAATGTGTGAAGCCCATTTCTTGTCTCCCCTGCTGTGATATTGCTGGAATATTGGCGTAAAATAGCGGCGTAAAACCAAACTCACTCACTCACTTTTAAAGTGGTGATCCTTAGCAAACTTTGAGTAGTATGCCTCAAATGAGTGAAAAGGGCAGATTTTTCAAACTTCAAATGGAAATTTCAGTATGAGCGAGTCCTTGACCCAAGATGAAGTTTGTATTGTTTATAGCAACATCTCCTATAAAAATCAGCTGGCGTCAAAGATTTGCTCATGTTCAAGTATTAGTAAAGTCTTTACAAAACCTCTCAAATCTGCCGACCCGTGAACATCGGGTAGGAATAGGTCTTCAGCAACCCATGCTTGCCATAAAAGGTGACTATGCTTGTCATAAGAGGCGACTTTTGGGATGTTATCTTGTCCCAATTGCATGGATCGATGCTCAAATCACTGTCTGATCCGGACTCGATTATTTACAAACCGTCGTCATATTGCTGGAATATTGCAGAGTGCGACATTAAACAACAAACAAACTCAAATCTGTCTTTTTGATACTTTTTATCTTTGTCTTGGTATTTAGCATCATCAGAATTTCCGAAATGAACAGTGATTCGTGCTCATTCATCTAAACATATCTGTAATTACTTTCATAAATTCTCAAATGTATTGCTCAGCTTCTAAATTATGCAGATCTTGTGGGGCAGAAAGAGCCTTTATCCTACCTCACCCTTTGTCATCTTCCAAGATGAAGAATGTTGTTTTTGTTGTGATTCGATCTCCCACAATGTAGATTCTGGCCCAAATAAGTCCCAGTACCCCAGGGGATTACTGATTTCTCATTAGTTGTACCTCTGTTGCATTTGGATAGTTAACCCTTGTGAAGATCCGGGGTAGAATAGGTCTTCAGCAACCCATGTTTGCTGTAAAAGACGACTATGCTTGTCGTAAGAGGCGACTAACTGGATCGGGTGGTCAGGCTCTTGACTCTGTTGATGCATGTCATTGTATCCCAATTGCGTGGATCGATGCTCATGATATTAATCACTGGATTGTCTGGTCCAGACTGAAATATAAACATGCCGTCATATAGCTGGAATATTGCTGAGTGTGGTGTCAAACAATAAACAGATAGCCCATATAACAATCTCATTAAAGTCGGGTCTTTATTCCACTTTGATACCTCTCTGCGTGAAGATCTGAAAAACCTTCCCTCCTTTGAAGAAACACAGAGGAATTGATAGAGTCTGAGTAGAAGGTCCAATATTGGTGAGATTGCCCACATGTGGAAGATGTCTAACTGTCTGTTGTTTTGTTGATGAGGATGGGGACCAGGACACTGTGTCTGTAGATGACTGGATCGTCTTCAAAGCCTCACCCACCACAGCACAACTAGTCAAGGTATGTATTCTCCACGGTGGGGAATCACTGCCATGATCTTTCATAGCCCAGTGGAGATTCTGTGTTCCCAGCAACCTATGCTGGTTGTAATAAGCAGGGGCGGTCGGGTAGCCTAGTGGTTAAAGCGTTAGCTTGTCACGCCGAAGACCCGGGTTCGATTCCCGACATGGGTACAATGTGTGAAGCCCATTTCTGGTGTCCCACGTCGTGATATTGCTGGAATATTGCTAAAAGTGGCGTAAAACCATACTCACTCACTCACTCACTGTAATAAGCGACGAACAGGATCGAGTGCAGTGACTTAGTTGATTGTGTGTCCACGTGCTCCAATGGAGTGGATCGATGCTCATGATATCAATCACTGGATTGTCAGGTCCAGACTAGATTATCTACAGGCCGCTGTCATGTAGCTTGAACATTGCTGAGTGCAGCGTTAATCACATACACATGCAGGTATGCTTGAAGACACACACACACACACACACACACACACACACACACACACACAAAGTATGGTTCATGATAAAGGTTTTAACAGATTCACCACAGCACAACTAGTCAAGGTAAGTTCTGTGTGGAATCACTGCCGTGATTCTGTGTTAGAATTGGTTTCCAACAACCTATGCTGGTTGAGAAAGGCAACGAACAGGATCAGGTGCAGTGACTCAGTTGATTGAATGTCAATGTATTCCAACTGAGTGGATTGTTGCTAATGATATCTGTCACTGGATTGTCGGGTCCAGACTAGATTATCTACAGGCCACCGTCGTTTTGTTGGAGTATTGCTGAGTGCGGTGTTAAGCACATACACATGCAGGCTTGCATAATGACACGCACACAAAAAGTAAAGTTCAAGAAGGTTTTAACAGATTTATCTTTGAATATAGAGAATCTCACCTGAGTGTCTTTTGATATCAAATATATCAACACGAGTTGATAAAAGTGGAAAAATTCCCAGGCTTGCCGAGGATTTTTGCCACTTTTATGAATGAGTGTTGATATATTTGATATCAAAAGACACGAGGGTGAGATTTTATTTATCAGTGTAGATATCGCTTGATCTCATCCAAGCGATATCTCCTGTGGGAGCCAGTTTTGGATGATAAAAGGTTATCTCAAGTTTTGACAGACAACTGTCACAACTGTTTTTCCTGCCCTCATGATGAGCTCACATTTCCTTGCAGGACCTGCGCCGTGAGTTGGACAAGTTACTGGAGCACAAGATCACCCACCCAGGACCCACCAGCTGGAGTGAGGCGGAGAAGGAGGGGGCTCTCATGCGGGCCATATCAGACCTCATCACTACAGATGAAGATCAGTTCCAGTCCGGGGCACTGCCAGCACATTCTACAGACTCTCAGCATCACAGAAGGAACAGACATAAACGTTGGTGACGCTTGTTTCAGTTTGTGGAGCTCAAGGTCTTCATGCTAGGATGATTAGGGGAACTGCCAGCACATTCTACAGACTCTCAGCATCACAGAAGGTACAGACATAAACGTTGGTGACGCTTGTTTCAGTTTGTGGAGCTCAAGGTCTTCATGCTAGGATGATTAGGGGAACTGCCAGCACATTCTACAGACTCTCAGCATCACAGAAGGAACAGACATAAACGTTGGTGACGCTTGTTTCAGTTTGTGGAGCTCAAGATCTTCATGCTAGGATGATTAGGGGAACTGCCAGCACATTCTACAGACTCTCAGCATCACAGAAGGAACAGACATAAACGTTGGTGACGCTTGTTTCAGTTTGTGGAGCTCAAGGTCTTCATGCTAGGATGATTAGGGGAACTGCCAGCACATTCTACAGACTCTCAGCATCACAGAAGGAACAGACATAAACGTTGGTGACGCTTGTTTCAGTTTGTGGAGCTCAAGGTCTTCATGCTAGGATGATTAGGGGAACTGCCAGCACATTCTACAGACTCTCAGCATCACAGAAGGAACAGACATAAACGTTGGTGACGCTTGTTTCAGTTTGTGGAGCTCAAGGTCTTCATGCTAGGATGATTAGGGGAACTGCCAGCACATTCTACAGACTCTCAGCATCACAGAAGGAACAGATATAAACGTTGGTGACGCTTGTTTCAGTTTGTGGAGCTCAAGATCTTCATGCTAGGATGATTAGGGGAACTGCCAGCACATTCTACAGACTCTCAGCATCACAGAAGGAACAGACATAAACGTTGGTGACGCTTGTTTCAGTTTGTGGAGCTCAAGGTCTTCATGCTAGGATGATTAGGGGAACTGCCAGCACATTCTACAGACTCTCAGCATCACAGAAGGAACAGATATAAACGTTGGTGACGCTTGTTTCAGTTTGTGGAGCTCAAGATCTTCATGCTAGGATGATTAGGGGAACTGCCAGCACATTCTACAGACTCTCAGCATCACAGAAGGAACAGACATAAACGTTGGTGACGCTTGTTTCAGTTTGTGGAGCTCAAGGTCTTCATGCTAGGATGATTAGGGGCACTGCCAGCACATTCTACAGACTCTCAGCATCACAGAAGGAACAGACATAAACGTTGGTGACGCTTGTTTCAGTTTGTGGAGCTCAAGGTCTTCATGCTAGGATGATTAGGGGCACTGCCAGCACATTCTACAGACTCTCAGCATCACAGAAGGAACAGACATAAACGTTGGTGACGCTTGTTTCAGTTTGTGGAGCTCAAGGTCTTCATGCTAGGATGATTAGGGGAACTGCCAGCACATTCTACAGACTCTCAGCATCACAGAAGGAACAGACATAAACGTTGGTGACGCTTGTTTCAGTTTGTGGAGCTCAAGGTCTTCATTCTAGGATGATTAGGGGAACTGCCAGCACATTCTACAGACTCTCAGCATCACAGAAGGAACAGACATAAACGTTGGTGACGCTTGTTTCAGTTTGTGGAGCTCAAGGTCTTCATGCTAGGATGATTAGGGGAACTGCCAGCACATTCTACAGACTCTCAGCATCACAGAAGGAACAGATATAAACGTTGGTGACGCTTGTTTCAGTTTGTGGAGCTCAAGGTCTTCATGCTAGGATGATTAGGGGAACTGCCAGCACATTCTACAGACTCTCAGCATCACAGAAGGAACAGACATAAACGTTGGTGACGCTTGTTTCAGTTTGTGGAGCTCAAGGTCTTCATGCTAGGATGATTAGGGGAACTGCCAGCACATTCTACAGACTCTCAGCATCACAGAAGGAACAGACATAAACGTTGGTGACGCTTGTTTCAGTTTGTGGAGCTCAAGGTCTTCATGCTAGGATGATTAGGGGAACTGCCAGCACATTCTACAGACTCTCAGCATCACAGAAGGAACAGACATAAACGTTGGTGACGCTTGTTTCAGTTTGTGGAGCTCAAGGTCTTCATGCTAGGATGATTAGGGGAACTGCCAGCACATTCTACAGACTCTCAGCATCACAGAAGGAACAGACATAAACGTTGGTGACGCTTGTTTCAGTTTGTGAAGCTCAAGGTCTTCATTCTAGGATGGGGGCACGGGTGGCCCAGTCGTCCAAGGCGTCGCCAGAAACCTATGATTGTGGGTTCAAATCCTGGTTCGCCCCGATTATGTTTCTAGGTTTGTCATCACCATGCCCGTGCTCGTGGGTTTCACTAAAGTGGTAAACTTCTGAGACCTGCATCACTTCGGGCTTTCCTCCCACATTAAGCTGACACGTCGTGATATAACTGGAATAATGTTAAAAACGGCATTAAACCCGCAAGGATGACTAGGGGCACTGATAGCACATTCTACAGACTCTCAGCATCACAGGAGGAACAGACATAATTGTTGACGGTAGTGGTGTTTCATTTTGTGAACTGTGGCTGTTCTTGATACAGTAAAGAAATAGAGGCACTGGCAGCTCATTCTACAGACTCTCCGCTTCGAAGGATGAAGGAGAATGGGGTAGCTCAGTGGTTAAAACATTCACTTGTCACGACGAAGACCTGGTTTCGATTCCCCACATGGGTACAATGTGTGAAGCCCATTTCTGGTGTCCCCCGCCATGATAGTACTGGAATATTGCTAAAGGTGGCGTAAAACCATGCTAACTCACAGGATGAATAGACATTGATTGTGAGGATGATAATGGAATCACCATCAGTTGTGGACTGTAGCTGTTGATGTTGCTCTCAAAATCGGAGGAGTGGGAAAGGTTATTCTTGTTAGTCACTGCGAGATCTTCATCCTAGGTACGGATGCTGGTTGTGTGGTCTGACCATAGCTCATGGCCAACCCTGCTACACTGTCCTGACAACACAACTGGCGTAACTATGGTTATGTACCTCCTCCTGAGGTTTCATGGATGAGGAGTGTTTTGTGGATGAGGAATGTCAAAGGACCTGCACAAGAAGATGGCTTGTGTTTTGAAATCTTGCTGGAGTGCACATAGAGTTATACTCAACTGACTGTAAACCTGCGGGGTTTGAACCCTGTGTGGACGTGGATTAACAGTGGTCCCAAAATGCAACTTATTTACATCAAGTGATTGAAGTTAATTTGGGAGATTGGGAATATGTATTGACAATTGCTTCTGACTTGGGCTCTGCTGAATTTTCCAAAATACATGTCTTACAAAAAGCTGATGGTCCATTTTGACACTAGGGGGCGCTGAAGTCTTGACTCAGCACTTTTTATGCAATATACTTCATATAAGTAATTGGATGATTTCATCAAAACTAATCAATTACTCTTTTAATATTTGGTGCCAAAATAGGGGGATTACAACAAGCTACACAGTCATCCTCAAGAGGTAAGTGTTCCGATATATTTCCAGTGCAATAGTACTTGTTGGGCATACAAAATGACAAAAAATAATCAATATTTACACTTTCATTTATTCCCTTATTTCACATTTAAAATATTTTTTTTGCATAAAACATATTTTCTGCAACAGAAATGTATTGAAAATTAAGATTATCATTTTATACCATTCCTTGTAATTAAAAGGTTTGAGTGATATACGTGACCAGGGTCATTTCTTAAATGACACAAGGTAGATGGTGTTTATCAAATTTATGTCAAAGCACCTTGACAAGCTCTGTAAAGAGGTTATCAGTTAAAATACCTCCTGTTAGAGTCTATAAAACAAATTGATCTCCAAGGTGGTATTTTACGGCAGCATTAATTTACAATAATTACCCATTAGGGTAACTTATAGCACTTGCAATGAGGATCTCTGCATAAGAAGGTTAATTTTTTATTTGGCCTAAAAAATACATATTCATTACATATGTAACTATTATAATTAATTTTTTCTTCATAATATTTTGAATTTCTTCTTGCGAATCAAAATGACCACGTAATTGTTAGGAGTTAAGATAGATTTCCGCTTTTCAAATTTGCATGTCAAGAATTACACAGTTACTGACCATTTGATTTTTGCCTGCTGTAAAAGTCATGATCTTGTTTGGTTCGACACAAATTGCTGTTTAGGCTATTTACTGTCTTTAGGTTCTCTAGATGCTTAGTGACGTGCGTCCAGCTCACATCATCCAGGCCTGACAACCATACCACATCAATCTCGGACAGTGAAAGTGATGTAGACACTGATGAAGACCTGTCACTAATCCTTACGTTGTCTACATCTGAATCATCAGGGATGGTCGTCAGTTGCTCAGTGATGCGGCTTGCCATTTGATCATCAACATACCAAACAATTTGGTAGGTTTTATCTTCCAACATTGCAGCCATGTCCTTCTGGTGCAGATAGAACAGGAGTTGGTGTGTGAGCATTTCTTAATACACTTGATACAAAGTCTGTTTGTTGAACCATCCAAGCCTACAAAGAGGGGCTTATCATCTGACCATGAACAACAGTTACTGTCCAGGTACTGGCTGGATCAACACGAGACGTAAATACTGTTGGCTTCTGTACCATGGGCTTTTGAGAAAGTGTCTAGTGTCAGCGACCATCACCAGAGAAGAAGTTTCTACCCAAGCCATAGCTCACCGGTGTCCAGAGGACTGCATGTCAGGGGCTACCAGGGGACAATGACGAGAACAATATCGAGATGGATGAACGTGAATCTCAGTCACTGGACAACCAGGCCATTCCTTCTCAGAGTTGATTAAGCAGGTGATGCCAGATGTACACCCCAAGGTTGAACCTACATCCCAGAGGCTAGAAATTCCAGGATCCTATGGTCCATCAACCACTTCCAAATGTCATGTCCTTCCATGGCCGACTTTCACGAAGCAAATTATCAATCGGGCTAATGATGGCCTTTATATATTCGGCAATGACAGGTTGCAGCGACCCTACTTGAAGAGTGAGTGAGTCAAAATTTAACGAACATACCAGACATGATAATCTGTTCCCCGACCTCATTTCAAGGGGAGGGGCATGGGTGGCCCAGTCGCTGCAATTAACTGTGCAGAGTTGTGTTCCTTGGACAGCCAGAAACCTATGATCAAGGGTTCGAATCCCAGTTCACCCGATTATGTTTCTAGGTTTGTCAGCACCATACCTGTGGTGGGTTTCACCAAAGTAGTAAACATCTCTGAGACCTTCATCACTTTCCTCTCACATTAAGCTGCGATATAGCTGGGAACATTGTTAAAAGCAGCGTTAAACCCAATTCACTCACTCGCTCACTTGCTCACTTTAGGCTGGTGAAGGGGCGGTCGGGTAGCCTAGTGGTTAAAGCGTTCGCTCGTCACGACGAAGACCCGGGTTCGATTCCCGACATGGGTACAATGTGTGAAGCCCATTTGTGGTGTCCCCCGCCGTGATATTGCTGGAATATTGCTAAAAGCGGTGTAAAACCGAACTCATCAGAGTAAGTGAGAGAGTAGGGTCTGACGCTCACTCACTCACACTCACTCACTTAGGCTGGTGAAGCAACAGGATGTCGCTGCCTATGTCAAGAATCCAAACACACATGATGGAGATCGGCTCTCACATCAACTTGTTGTGGCAGGAGTTTGCCTTGTTATTCCCCCGATGCAATTGTACAGCAGCATGCTAGGAGATACATCCATCCCAGGGGCAACAACACAGATGCTACATCAACATCAATGCAATTGCGTTTGTAATTGACGAGGACATGAGTCAAGTAATTCATCTGTACACACAGTCCCAGGGTGTGTCTACTCATCTGCAGCCCTGTGAAGATCCGGGTTAGAAACGGTCTTCTGCAACCCATGCTTGTACCCCGTGAAGATCCGGGTTAGACTAAGTTTTCAGCATGCTGAAATTGGTGACTATGCTTGTCATAAGAGGCTACTAACGGGATCGGGTGGTATCGTATCCCAATTGCGTGGAACGATGCTCATGTCAATCACCTGGATTGTCTGGCCCAGGTTTGATTATTTACAGACCACCGTCATACAGCTGGTATATTGCTGAATGCGGCGTTAAACAACAAACAAACAAAACAAAACAGCTGCGGCCATCAGAAGGGGAAAGTGTTGACCTTGCAAATGGTCCAGTCACGGGATGCCTTCTATTCAACTATCAGAAAACATTTCTGGAATTGAGAATTGGAATTGAATTTGTGTGCACCTTATATTCCAGACTGGAGATGTCAGACATACATGACATTGAATTAGTATTAATCAAAAGAAGTATGACTTGACAGGATTCGATGGTGTGACCCAAGGAAACATTGGTGGAAAAGCCAAACGAACAAACTTTGTATCAAGTGTTTTATCTCTTCTATCTGCACCAGAAGGACATGGCTGCAATGTTAGAAGACAAAACCTACCAAATTGTTTGGTATGTTTATGATCAAATGGCAAGCAGCATCACTGAGCAACTGACGACCATCCCTGATGACTCAGATGTCGACCACGTA